GCGCCTGGGCTGGGACTGGTCCCACCGGTGCAGGGTAGCAGGAAGCTCTCCACACACTCACCGGACCTGGGCTAGGACTGGGTCTGGGGGTTCCCAGAAGTCGGCAGAAATTCCTACTCGGTGGGAGGGGTGGGGAGGTATGGCGGAGTTTGATTGTAGTTTTGTACATGGTGATAGGCATGGGCCTAATATTAGGCTTTAGTATGAGGAAAGTCAGTTTTTTTTAGCACCATTTATTAAAGAAGTTATCTTTCTTCCAGTGATCATGTTTGGCCTCTGTATCACAGAAAAGGTGTCTGAGTGTGTTTGTAGTTGTATTTTCATTTTCTAATTAGCTCTATTGATCCTTAGGTTTGTTTTTTGTCAATACCATGCTGACTTTTTTTTTTTTTTTTTTGTATTTAATGCAGGGTGTATAGGGTCTCATTGCATAGATCAGACACTCGTAGTGATCCTCCTGTTTACAGCCTCCCAAGTGCTGAGATTACAGGCACATGGCACCATGTCCAGTCTCAATCATGGTCTCAGCTCACCCCAGTAGGCCAGGTGATTGAACTCCCAGCCCTTGCGTCTGCCTAAACAGGCACTTTAATCTGCTGTCTATTTGGCCAGCACTTCCATGCTGATTTTATACCATACCTTTGTAGTATAATTTCAAGTCAGGGGTGGTGATGCCTTCTTCTTTTCCTTCGTTGCCCAGGATTGCTTTTGCTATTCTAAGTCTCTTCTGTTTCATGGGAATTTTAGGAATTTTTTCTTTCTAGATTTGTGAGGTGTACTAGAGTCATTTTAATTGGGATTGCATTATATCTGTATGATAATTTTGGGATTATGGCCATTTTCACACTGTTCTTTCTTTTCCAATCCTTATTATTTTTATTCCTCTTGTCTAATTTCTCTGGCTATTTCCAGAACCATATCAAATAGGAGTAGAGACATTAGACATACTTTTCTTGTTCCTGATTTTGAAGTGAGGGCTTTCAGTTTTTGTCCATTTAGTATGATGTTGGCTGACAGTTTGTCATAGATAGCTTTTATCAGTTTGAGGTAAAGATCATATATTCTGATTTTTTGTAGTATTTTTTATT